ACACACACTCACCTCCCCGTTCAGGAAGCAGTACAGCAGAGCCACCAGGAACCCCTGGAAAGGACAGAAGGGGCAACTTTCACCCCAGGAAAGGGGCTGGACCCCCCTGTGCTCGTGTGCTGCCTGCATTTAACACCTCCCCCCACCTCCTACCCCACCCCACAGGCAGCAGGGCGATGGGATCAGGGCAGTTGGCCACCAGGCCACAACCTTTGTGCTTTGTCCCTTGGTTTTTAAGGGGCACCAGGGATGTAGTCCTCACCCAAAAGAGGGCAAAGCTCCAGCAGCACATCCCAGGGTCTGCTGGTGTGATGTAGGGGTGGGACAGGATGGGTACGTGGGGGTTTTGGGCTCCACATCTTCCCCTGCTTGTACCTGGTAGGAGCCAAGGACCAGCTCGAAGTAGAGGCGGGCGTCCACGCCGACGTGCTCGGGGAAGAGCGCGAACACCACGTAGTGCACCCCGAAGAGAGGGATGAGGAGCAGCGTGGACTTGGTCAGCCTCCTGCAGAGAGAGCTGCCGTCAGCAGGAGCTGGGCTGGGGGTGCCAAACCTGCTGCCCTGCAAGACAAGCCCTCCCCAAGAGCTCCCTCTTAACCTAAACTAGGTTTTCCAGGAAAAACAAGTCTCGGAGGCTCCAAGGATGGTCCTCTCCTGTGCTGCTGCAGGGAAGGGGCCCTGCTGCCCTGGGTCCCCTCAGAAATCAGGGTGAGGGGAGCTGCCCCTTGCCCAAGCCAGCCCTTACATGTACTGCTGCTTGTAGTTTTTGCTGATCTCTGGGGACCAGATCTTCTGCGCCAACATCCTGGTGACGTTGAGGAAGATGAGGAAGTTCACCTGCCGTGGGAAGCTGTGTCTCAGGCTCTGCACAGACCCGTCCCTGGGCCCCCCTTGTCCATGAGGGACCTCCAGCTCTGGGGCTGGGATGCTCAGGGAACGTACTCACAAATATGGCCAGGAGGATGGGAGCCTTGATCACCCACCAGTAGAGGCTGGTGTAGTCGTCCCAGCACCTATGGGAGAGGGGAAATGGCTCTGCCCCCCACCTGCACCCTCTTAGCCCAGGTTTTGTCCCACCACCCCCAGCCCCCTGCCCCATTTGCACGGCACCTCTTGCAGCAAGGCCCTGCCACGGCAGGAGTCTGGGCCCCAGCAGAAAAGAGAAGTATCACTAAAATAAAGACCTGCCTCAGTTGTCCCCTCCCAACCCTCCCATGCAGGAGGACTGTCCCCTGGGGCAAGCACGGGGCACACGTGGCCACGCTGGGCTGGGGAAAGATGAGGAGTAGCTGCTCTTACCCGTGGTTGTCGTACTGCAGCCTGGTGACCACCCACGTGCAGACTGTGAGCATGGGGACACCTGCAAGGACAGCACCCAGGCAGGGATACGGTGTCACCCTGGGTCTCTGGGGACCCCTGAACCCACCCCCACATCCCTTGTCCCCAAAACCGTGTGCCTGGATCAAGTTTGGGGCTCTGGAGGTGGCAGGGAGGTGACAGCATTGCCCTCTTCTCCAGGTCTTGAAAGGAGATGGTGCCCACTGAAGGTGATGGGAGGGTGATGAAGGTGAAGATGACTGTGTGTCACCTCCTGGCCACCCTCCTGCCCTGTGTGTGCTCTTACATCTAACCTGGGCACCCCGGACAGGTGTTTCCAGCCCCAGATGGATGTGGGAAGAAGGAAGGAACCACCTCTGTCCCATCCTGACCATGGTCAGGATCAGCAGCAGATGCTGTGAAGATTCTTTGGTCAGTGTTAGCAAGGGTGTGATTTTCTGCACGTGCCACGGGGGCAAGGATCAGGCCATGCTGCCCAACCAGCTCCAAGGGTTAGCAGGAGCTGGTGGGTGCCCCACCAAGCACGAGGCCACACAGAGTGATGCTGGAGTGGGGGGGACATGCTGAGAGCCTCCATGGGGAGCACAGGGCCCATGGACCTCTGGCCAGGTGGATCTCCGAGCAGGCAACCCCCAAAAGCTGTGCCTACCCCCATCTGTGCCAATGGGACCTGACTGGAGGGGGTTTGGTGTGCTGGGGGGTGCCTCACACTCACCCCAGCCGATGAGGATGTACCACCAGATGTACCTCCTGTCGGAGGTGAAGGTGAGCAGCAGCAGGGTCTGCAGGTACATCCCCTCCACCAGCAGCCAGTAGAAGTTGGCCAGCACCGAGTACTGGAAGAAGGCAATGGCTGCTTTGCAGTTCACCTGTGAGGATGAGGAGGGGGGAAGGCTCAGTGGTGCTGGCTGACATCAAACCCCGTCCTGGAGGCAGAGGGGATGGTCCTCCTCCCCATCCACCCGCTCGAGGAGACCTGTGATGGTCTCAGTGCAGCCCCAGGGATGCTGCACGGGTCACCTGCAGCACGTCCTGCCCTGCCAGCAGAGATGACCCCAGGCTGCTGCTGTAGGACCTTCAGAAACGTGTGCCCGTGGTGCCCACGGGGCTGCCCCCGGCCTGCACGGAGGTGTCTCCATGGACAACCCCAGCTCAGTGCCAAGTCCGTGTGCGTGGAGCTCCAGCCCCTCTGGGACAGCTCTGAGGGCAGGACACCTTCTCTGCAGACAGGACCCACGCCGAGATGCTGCCATGAACCTCCTGAGGTCGACCCCAGCTCCACAGCCTCTCTCTCTCCCCCTGCTCTCTGGAGGTGCAGCCAGACCCCTCCAGGTGGGCACGTGGTGCCCGCTCCAGCGCCGTGCCAGGGCTCAGCACCTCACCGTGGACATGGTGCAGTGGTCGATGGACTCGTCCGAGAAGAGGATGGCGTCCTTGATGAACACGGCTGCCCCACGCAGGATGAAGGAGGTGAAGAAGTGGATGTGGATGGAGTTCCTGGTGCAATGCAGCTTCCTGAGGGAGGGAGAGATGGGCTGTGCCCAAGGAGGGGCAGAGACACCAGATGGGCAGAGAAGCTTCTCCCTTGGGAGCTGCTTCCGTGGGTAGATCCCAGCTCAGGGCACTATGTGTTGGTGATGGCCCAACACGAAGCCCTGGAGAAGGTTTTCCTGCTCTGACATGAAGGATGGGGTTGTGCTGAGCTTGAGGCTGCTGCCTGGGGACAAGGTGTGCTGGGGAACATCCTCCAGCCACCTCTAGAGAGCATCCTCCTGCAGCTCAGCGAGGTCTGCCAAACCAGAGCCTGAACAGGCAGCCTGGGGCTTTAACGCCTGTGTCTCA